GGGGGGTTCTCTCATCAGTGATGATGAGGTGAGCGCGGGTGGGGGTTCTCATCAGTGATGATGAGGTGAGCGTGGGTGGGGGGTTCTCAGTGATGATGAGGTGAGCGCGGGTGGGGGGTTCTCTCATCAGTGATGATGAGGTGAGCGCGGGTGGGGGTTCTCATCAGTGATGATGAGGTGAGCGTGGGTGGGGGGTTCTCAGTGATGATGAGGTGAGCGCGGGTGGGGGGTTCTCTCATCAGTGATGATGAGGTGAGCGCGGGTGGGGGTTCTCATCAGTGATGATGAGGTGAGCGTGGGTGGGGGGTTCTCAGTGATGATGAGGTGAGCGCGGGTGGGGGGTTCTCGTCAGTGATGATGAGGTGAGCGCGGGTGGGGGGTTCTCAGTTATGATGTGAGCGCGGGTGGGGGTTCTCATCAGTGATCATGAGGTGAGCGCGGGTGGGGGGTTTGCTGCATCTAGACAAACCTCACATGCGTGAGGCTCTGGATATAATCCAGAGTATCACACTTACGTGTACACACACACAGACACACACACACACATCATACTGTTTTAGTGTTTGTGGGTTATTTTGGTCTACTTTTCTAAGCACATGCTGTAGGTAAAGATAAAGTCAAAGTATATTAGTATCAAGGGAAGTGCTTGAGTGTCTCTTGGTTCCTAGACTATTTCATAATACTGGACGTTTTGTTAATGGTGTTTTCTCTTTGTATAAGTTTTGTTTCAGGACAACGAGTAGTTTTGATATTTAGTCTATACACATAACATTTGTGATCATTGACTTGCTAAGAACAAACTTACTATTAGTTTTGGTCATCTTATTTGACATAGATTTCTGTGATATTATAAATAGGATATTGATTGGGTGCAGACAGAGAAGCATGTGTTCGAGCAGGCGTCCAATCACCCTTTTCTTGTTGGGCTGCATTCTTGCTTCCAGACAGAAAGCAGGTAAGGTTAAAGGATAACCAATGTCATGGGCTTCATCCTTTTTGGCTTGTTATATAAGAAGAATCTGTTTCCCATAATCCTTGAAGTAGGAGGACTACTTATAATTTCCTGCTACAGTCAGTGATACCAATTTAACTCCAGTCACTCATAGACATATAAGGAAGAAAAGGGGAGAGAGAAGGGGCTCTTCAGAAACAGCAGTAGCTAGCCAGCCCTTTAAATATCCTCCGTATTCTCACCTTATGACATAATGTCTCCTTACCTGAAGTGACATTTAAGCATGACTCACCTAGCTCCTAAGATTACAGTGGCACTACTGTGAGTGGGATCGGTGTAGAGGTTGGGTCATGCTGGGTCGCTTGTGTCCACTAAGCTCCCACTGAGGTAAAAGGCTGAGTCGTCTTGAATGCCTTCATGCTGTTGCTATTGCTGCTCCATGGGAAATGCCGAAAGCTGTCTGCCTCACTGTGATATGTGGCTCTTGCCTCTGTCGTAGGTTGTTCTTTGTCATAGAATATGTAAATGGAGGAGATCTCATGTTTCATATGCAGCGACAAAGAAAACTTCCTGAAGAACATGCCAGGTAAGTGTTTTGTTTGAGGTGGATTTTTTTGCTCAGGGCTGCCTGACCTCTTATGTCTACTGAAAACAATATATGAACAAGTTATCTTGTTACAGTTTATTCTTTGTAAGTCATGAGGTGGTGAAGTTACATAATAAATTATATCTATCACATATTTTGTGCTCATTATGTATTTAGGGTTTTTCAGATGGTTATTATTCATAGCAAAGCCATGTGGTTTTTTTTTCTTTCAATCTAAGGTTTTACTCTGCAGAAATCAGTCTAGCACTAAATTATCTTCATGAGCGAGGGATAATTTATAGAGATTTGAAGTTGGACAATGTACTGCTGGACTCTGAAGGACACATTAAACTCACTGACTACGGCATGTGTAAGGTGAGAGAACCCCCAGACAGCTTGTGACTGTCAGTTAAGTAACTTCACGTTCAGATGGGAAAGGATCACTGCCTTGTTTGGGATGTTTGAGAATTCTAGTCTAAAGACAAGTATACTCCCTGGCCAGTCAGCCATTTGCAGAACTCCATGTCTTCTGGGATGTGTGTGATATATGGGTTACTTTTTTTTTTTTAATTGGTTGTAGCTTTTTCTGTTATACTTTTGGAGAAACTTTGGAAATAACTATTTACCTACGGTCCCATTATGTTAACACAGTATTTGCATATCACCTTCCAAGCTTTTACCAGTTACTAGACCTAAACCTTCTTTCAAATGTTTCCTAGGAGTGTTTTTATATTTAAATTTCAATTCTCTGACATACAGTATGATAAAAATGAAGTAAACATGTTACTTTATCTCCGAATATGTCTGTTAATGGTGTTTTACTCCTGTGGCAACAGTGTTTTAGTTAGAGGTCTGATCTTTTCCCACAGAATGTCTAGAGAACTATTGTACTTATTAACCCTGCTCTAACAAAACGTCTGCGAGTGTGAGTGTATACCCTGCATTCCCGTCCATCAGGAGGATACCATAAACACTCAAATGGCACTGAGGATTTAGTGTTACACCTGCACACCTTGTATTAGAAAGTAAAGTCGTCATGCAGTGTATAAAACTCAAGAACACTTTCCTGTGATAGACCTTATTAAATCATTCCCTGTGTAAATAGTGTGAAGAGTTGGTCCCTGGATTCTCTACATGCCTCTTTTATATTCATGATACCTTTTTGCTCTCGTGGTTCTTTCCTATAGTGTTTTTTCTCTCTCTGGTTTTAAAATTAAACATAATAATAATGGATTGTTACAAGTTCCAAGAGCAAATGAAAATATGCAGAATATTAATCTGCAAATTAGAATAGTGGGGTTTGGGGCTTTTGTTTTTTTTTTTTTAGTCACTATCTGAATATTAGTTAAGATTACGGGTAGCATTAGGAGACAGAGGCATAGTGACACACCTCTGTAAGGTGAAGCAGGCTGGTCATGAGCTCAAGGACAGCCTGGACTGGACAGCAAGAGTTTATCCACTGAGCCATCTCCCCAGCCTGGGAGAAGCCTTTCTTTGATGACTTTCTGTCCTTCTCCTGTCTCCCAAACATATCTGGCCGTATTTATACTGTGATATAAGTATATGTGACACATTTGGTGGTTGGCTAGCTTTTATTTTGCCTTTGTTTTGGTGGGTGTTTGTTTCTGTTTGGCTTGGTTTTATTCCTTTGAAACAAAATTTTGGTGTGTGGCTGAGGTTGACCCTGCATTAACAATTCTCCCGCTTCAGTCTTCCAAGTGCTGGGATTACTCGTGGACCACCATGTGCTTTTAATCTAAAAGTTTCTCTGTTTATTAGTTATTGGTGTGTAGGATATGTTTGTTTTCTGAATGTTAAAATCTCACAATCAAAGACCATGAAAATTTCCTATTGTGTTCATTTTTATTCTTTCTTAGAAAATATTTTAGCAGGTATACAGAAACTTATATTTGTTACAGCTGTTGATGGTTGTTCTATTTATTATTGGGTATTTTCTCTACTTAGCTTATTTGTGCATTGAGCCTTCATTGTTCACCTTTCTACAGCTATTAAAATACCAAAGCAGAAGACAGGCTCCAGAGGAAAAATGGCCAGAAACAAAGCATTGCAATGTCATGAAATACTCATCTTAGTCACAAGATCTCTGTTTTTGTAGTAAACTTTAATATCATTTTGTTTTGTTTTGTTTTGTTTTTATTGTTTTGTTTTTCAAGACAGGGTTTATCTGTGTAGCCCTGGCTGTCCTGGAACTCACTCTGTAGACCAGGCTGGCCTTGAACTCAGAAATCCACCTACCTCTGCCTCCCAAGTGCTGGGATTAAAGGCGTGCACCACCACTGACAGCCCTTAATATCATTTTTAAAACAGTTTATCTTAACTGAATTGACTTTAAAGTTTTCTATACTTTGTTTAGTAGTAATCACTGTTCCTGGTGACGCTGTGCAGGTTTGACACGGTGCATATACATGCTAAGTTTAGGCACATGAAATGGAAGAGGTAAATGTAAAATAGTTTTTTGTCTCTTACCTTGTCACCTTTTTCTCCTTTCCCTTTTCCCCCATGAAAGGAAGGATTGCGGCCTGGAGATACAACCAGCACTTTCTGCGGCACTCCCAATTACATTGCTCCCGAGATCTTACGAGGAGAAGATTATGGTAATAAATAAATAGGTGGTATTTTAGCTATTGCTATAATTGGTACCAACTACAACATAAGTACCATGCATTTTAATATTCACTAATATAGAAGCTTTTCTTAGTTCTGTTAACCTATAGAGAGAGAGACCTTCAGATTCTGAAACTGGACCCAAAAAGGGTTTAGCATTTGGAGTAGTTACATTTAAATAATATTTTACTAATGACAAACACTAAAGAGTGGCAAGAACTATTGTAAGCAATTCACTCTGAGCTCCCTCACAAACCTTCTGAGGTACATGTTGTTTTCAACTCATTCACAAAGAATTGTATAGAAAAGCTTAAATTGTATGCCTGAGTCACAAAAACCAAGGAAGTGCCCTGGGAGGTAGGTGCTTAAGGCATCAGCTATGTGAATCCAGTGTCACAAACTTCAGAAGACTGCTCATGTTCTGGGGAAATACCTTTCTTTCTTTCCCTCCCTCCCCCCTTTCTTTCTTTCTTCCTTCCTTCCTTCTTTTCTTTTCTTTCTTCCTTCCTTCCCTCCTTCCTTCCCTCCTTTCTTTCTTTCTTTCTTTCTTTCTTTCTTTCTTTCTTTCTTTCTTTCTTTCGTTTTCTTTTTCCTTCCTTCCTTCCTTCCTTCCTTCCTTCCTTCCTTCCTTCCTTCCTTCCTTCCTTCCTTCTTCTCTACATAACCCTGGAACTTGCTCTGTAAACTAGGTTGGCCTCTAATTCAGATCCTCTTGCCTCTGCCTCCTTAGTGCTGGGATTTAAAATTTGCACCACTACCCCTGGCTTTCATTAATTTCCTTTACATTTTTTTTTTTTAGATTTATTAGTTCTTTGAGACGTCTATACAATATTTTTTGATCATGTCTACCCTTTCCTCTTCCTCCCAGGCCTCCACCCCCGCCTTCTCCACTCATCCAGCTTTGTCTCCTCTTCCTTCTCACACAGCTAGCCCATGCTGCCCTTATGTTCTTGAACCTGTGGGCTTCCACAGGAGCGTGGTCAACTTGCAAGGAACAACTCTTTAGAGAAAAGTTCCTCTCCTGTAGCTGTCACTTGCCATAGCTCCTCCTGTCTGCCTCCCCTTACCATGCTGGGATTTGGTCTGCCTTGAGTTTACACAGGGCTTGTGCATGCTGTCCCAGTTGTTAAGAGCATGTGTACAGCTGCCCTACTGTGTCTGGAGACTGTTGTTTGCCTGTGTTCATCCTCCATCTCTGGTTTTTACAGTCTTCCCCCTTTTCTACAGTGATCCCATGCTTGGGAGGAGGAACATACAGATATTCTCCTTAGGGTTGGTTGGACCAAGTATTTCTGTAGTTTTTAGTGCCTACCACATTGTTTATAATCTAATTAGAATTTGCTTTTCCATTTTGTTTACATTTCCATCTCATGACAAATAAAATCTGACTATATAAAATCTGAGTTATATAAGTCTCCGATTGCTGGATTTTCACACATGCAGAGAAGATTTATTACTTTAAACTTCTCTCTAAAGGCTTCAGCGTTGACTGGTGGGCTCTTGGAGTCCTTATGTTTGAGATGATGGCGGGAAGGTCTCCATTTGATATCGTTGGTAGCTCTGACAATCCTGACCAAAACACAGAGGATTATCTATTCCAAGGTAATTTTCAGTACTTTGTGGAAATACTGTGTGGATAACCTAGAGCAAAGTAAAGGCTCTCAAATGACACACTCCTGACTTCGTGTTAGTTTGGAGAATTTTTAGATAGTCCCTTCCCACTTCTCTAGCCTGTAGCTTCATTTGTAGTTTCCTTCCCATGCTCAACTCATAACAAAGCAGCTAAGTGTATCCATCATACATAGTAGAGCAGGGATCTCCTGGAGAGACTGGTGACATCTATTAGAGAGATGAATCTTTGCACATAAGCCCCAGACTTGGGATGGAAGAGGTGTTAAGAGCTTGAGGGAGGGGTATCATGGCGAGGAGTGCTGAAAGTCAGCAGTGCAGAGGAAGGAGGCCAAGCACAGGACCTCTGCCATAAAGTGTGCGGCAGCCACAGAACTCTGCACTTGATAATTAAGACCCTCACAGAATACGAGGAAGTGTTCCATATAGTAAGGATCCAAGTGCCATTAAGGTTGTGGAAAGAGAATACAACCACGTGTTAGTGAGCTGTCGTCTCATACCTGTGCCTTTGACAAAGATTTTAGACTGAGAACTGCCTGGTGCTGATGAAGGCCTGGAGCAGTGGGGGGGTCTGCAGGACTGCTCGTGGGGTGAAGTTGTCAGGAGCTTTGCAGAGTAATTTCACATTTCCCAGTACAATTCTGTGTTACACATAGATGCAAGCAAGCACTTTACAGTACTAACTTTTGTACCTTGTAAGAGCTCTGTGAAGCAGGTATTGTTTTTAATTTCTATTCACAGAGGAAGAAACTGAGGCACACTAAGGTAGTAAAAATAAAACATGCTTGTATATAGTAAATGCAATACTCAGGCAAGGGACCAGCTCTAAGAAGGAGAGCCAAGGAAAATGCATGAAGTGTTTCAGTTACGTAGATGATATGTATTCTGCTAGAATGCCTTAAATATCTTAGGATTTAAAGAAAAAACTTAAAGATTCAAGCCACATAAAAACTAAAAATGATACTGTGATTCTTATCTTTTTAGTCATTTTGGAAAAGCAGATTCGCATACCACGTTCTCTGTCTGTAAAAGCAGCAAGTGTGCTGAAGAGTTTTCTCAACAAGGTATGAATTATGTGGAAGGTCTTCTGTGCTTTCTTTCCTGAGTAAGCAAAAAGTGGAGGTTCAGGCGCTGAAATGTTTTAGAACATGAATATGTAACTTTCAGTTAGAACTGGAGTTTTGTTTCATAACCAGAGACGAAATCAAATCCTGACCTGATTATCCTTGTCACGAGGCCAGTATCATTTATTTACCCCCAGCTTGACACTGCATTTGAACTTTTAAATGTAAATGATACACACATACGCTCTCCTCGGTGGAGGAAAATAGAGTCTGTAATTCGTTATAACTGCGTTTTCAGCTGTGTTTCTGTATCATTATCCATGAAACCCATTTCTCACCATGTGGCCAAGAATGTTTTCTATCCATTTCGTAATAAGAACTCTGTATTTTGATAAAATTCAGAAGAAATGAAATAACATCTTTAAAATGTAAGCATCAGTCAATTGCCTGTGGTAGTTGGTAAGCCAGAAGCATTTAGGTTCTAAGATTGTGAGTTTAGGATTCATAAAATTTGTTTCAAATAAATGAAGGTAGAAAATGGGTTGCCTCTGTGGGCACATAAGGATAAATTTAACAAAACTAGAAAATTGCACTTAGTTTAAGATGGCTATTTTTATCTTACATGTGCGGGTGTTTTGCCTGTATGTATATCTGTGTGCCACATGTATCATACGTCCCCAAGGAAGGCAGAAGTGGACGTTGGATCTCCTGGACCTGGTGGTAGAGATGGTTGTGAGTGGCTGTGTGTGTTAGGAATCCAACCTGAATCCTCTGAAAGAGAAGCTGGTGTGCTCTTAACCACTGAATCTCTCTGGCCCCTGGATAGCTCTGACCTCTGCTAGAATGCTTTAAGTATCTTGGGATTTAAAGAAAAAACTTGAAAGATTCAAGCCACATAAAAGCTAAAAATGATACCGATTTTTAGTCATTTTAGAAAAGCAGATTCGCGGATATCTTACACAAGAGAGTATTTAAACTGGAAAGCTTATGATTTTTTACTATGAAAAATGAAGTTGAGAGATGCTAATATATAAAATAAAATACCTTTTATCAGAAAAAAAAAACCATTGTAATTCGTAGTCAGAACAAAAGCTAAGGCGTTCTGAGTTCCAGCCTCCGTCTCAGTCCAGTGATGAGATAATTCTGTGTTACTGTCTTAGACTAATTAGGTTTGTTGCTGCAGAGGCTAGAACAATGAGCTAAACAGAAGTGTGTGGTAACGTTCAGAGGTTTCTGTATTTAATTACTAAATTCTGGCCTTCAACAAAGACTAAACGCTGCCCTTATTTTTCCACATTCTTTCTTTAACAAAGAGTGATGAAGTACTCTACCATTTTAAAAACAGGATTGTATGTAACCTAGGCTGCCCTTGGATTCTGGGATCATAGGTATGCCTCACCATGGCTGGGGCAGGTTCTCTACTTACTGACATGGTGAGCCAGGAGAAAACCCTGCCTGCTGTGACCTCTAGATTACTCACTTGAGTCTGGTCCTTGCTTTCTAGAAATAACTAGACATTTCAGCTTCACAAATAAAGCCATCATAAAACAGGAATTACAGTTGTCTAGTTCTTGAAACACTGCTTTTGCCATAGGACCCAAAGGAACGATTGGGTTGTCACCCTCAAACTGGATTTGCTGACATTCAAGGACATCCATTCTTCCGAAATGTGGATTGGGACATGGTATGTAAATTTTATTTTCCCAGCTTGGGTTTTACTGTAATCAAAGTCCAATTTTTAATATGTTTATAAGTTATTGAGAAACTAAGATATAATAGCTTAAATAACTTAAAACTACTGTATAGCACTTATAAAAAGCTGTAGAAACAAACAGAATAGTTAATGTACTGGAGAAAGTTGTAATATTACTGGGGCCCAGAGCAATGTCCCGCTTACTAAGATGTGGCCATGACTGCTGATACCTGGTGAGCCATCAGAGAGCAAAGAAAATATGAGGCGCAGTGTCCTGAATGCAGACCTCAACTCTCATCCACATGTCTTTTAGATGGAGCAAAAGCAGGTGGTCCCACCCTTTAAACCAAACATTTCTGGAGAATTTGGTTTGGATAACTTCGATTCCCAGTTTACTAATGAACCAGTCCAGCTCACTCCAGATGATGAGTAAGTAATTCCACACACTAAAAAAAAATTTCAAGCTTCTCTTGAAATCTCCCAAACCTTAAAGCTACTTAAGTGTTTATGAAAATATTCTGATTTATATGTAACCATTACATTGCTGGGTGTTTGAATCCATTATGCTGTTAAAATCTCTGTAGCAACAGTTATGTCTACTAACTTTGGATGGTTGGCCCAGTTCACACAACAGCCTCGTCAAGGGGGTATTGTCATCTTCACTTTACAGATAGATGAGGAACCACGGCTCAGAGAGCAAGCAAGAGCACATGTCAGGGCTCATACCCCGGCTGACTGACCAAGGCCTGTGGGCTGCACAGCTCCATCTTAAATATGCCATCCCTCTAAGTTTACGGGTATTCTTTGTAAGAACAACAGCAAGTTTCTAGTCTAGCCAGCAGGGGTCAGAATGGTGTCTGTGTCACATCTTTTAAAAATGTAATTTAGGGTGATTTGAGATCATTTTGATCCATTCTCTTTCTCCTTCCTTCCCCAAAGACATATTCTCTTATCCCAAGGGGCCTCTGCTCCTGGACATTCACTTTGCTGACATCTTAGTCCTAGCGTTCGTCAAAGCTGTTCCTTATAGTCTCAGGTTCTGAAGCCTTCTCTCAGTGCATTAAATGTAATTATTCCTTGACTTTAACTGCAAGAACTGAGACCTCGCTGATGTAGCTTGCACCCTTTTCAGATGACCTCAGGCAGCTTTATGTCTCAGGACTCTCAGGATTGTGCCTTACTCTTCTGGGCCTTATTTTGCCTCCTGCTGGGGAAAACCACTCTTCTAGACCGCCCCCCTGAATCCCCCCACCAGCGCTGGTCTGCCTTCTCCCTTGCCAGCTGTCTCATTGCTTTACCTCTGAAATTTTTTCCAATATTTTCCTCCTACCTAAAAGCACACTTAGCTTTGCTTTTTCCACAGAATCTTACCACTTCTTTGAGGTACTTTTCATCTTCAGACATGTAAAGAAATGGTTAGTGATGGTCTTACTAAAAGAGAGGTAAGCGGTGTCTACCAGACAGGCCAGTGAGCATTGACTGCCTTATGTGTTCTTACCACAAACGTTTGCTTCTTAAGCTTTGCCAGGTCAGGCTGACTTCTTAATTTCTAAGTTTCAAAGCATTGTTTGGCTAGTCTTCTCCCCTGACATCTGTGGGAGGTTTGACATCTTAAGCAGTGCCAGTTTCATCTCTATAAGAATTATCTCTCATCTTTTTCCCCTTTGTATGACACCAGGATACTCTGGGCTCAGTATCTGCCAACCCTCTTTGCAATATTCAGTTAGTACCTTAGAGACTTCAGCAGGCCCTGTATGGTAGATACTAGCTTTTTAGTGACTTGACTACTGAGTAGGCAAATGAAGCAAAAAGCATTATGCTAAGTGTTGGATGTTCATGGATGATCAAAATAGTCTGGTTTCACACAAAGCTCTCTGTCTACTAGGAGAGCTATAGTAGTCATTCCTCACAGAGCTGTGTGTTAGGAAGAACAGGGAGTTCATCAGAAGAGAGATGCTCAAATCCATGCCATTCTTACCAGCTGTGCACCCTTCTGTAGAATTGTATAACTTCTCTGAGCCTGTTCCTTCTCAGCGTATCTACTTCACAAGGTACCTACGAAGAAGTGAGTGCAGGATGGTTTCTGAAGCCTCCCTCTGCCCCTCCACGTCTCTCCTGAGCATTTCTACCTGTTTAGCATCTCCCTGAGTTTGTCTACAAACCCCTCAGATAACTGGAGTCTAAAAATCAACATAATAACCTTTGTCTCTTTTTCTGTGCTTTGCCACGCCTCATGTCTGCCTGTTGCCCCGCCATCTGCCACTGTGCTTGTTGATGTCTTTCACGCCTCAGATTCTGCAGTGCCCACTGCTGATGGGGCTTTTTGTGGTTTTCCTTTAACACTTGGATCTGAGCTTCCTTTTCTTACCCTGTTGCCTTAACCCTAGATCCAGACTCTTGCAAATCAAACCAAAAGTATAGTACCTGCTAGCTGATTGCTTCATCCCTTCACCATGTTACTAGGAAGTATACATCCTAGACAGCATACCTCATGAAGGACTGCTTCAGTTCTTCAGCCCTTAATCAGAAACATTCCAGGTAACCGCTGTCCTCTTGTCTGGCATTTTAAACCCACTCACTCCAGCACTGCTCCTGCCTGACTTTTAGCCATGTCACCAAGAGACAAAAGGTGTTTGGAGCAGTCTGTCATTTACCATTCCCTGACAAGAGGGTGCCACTCTCTCTGTCTTGTGCTTATTTTCCTCTATCTTTTTTTTTTATCAATTGAAATTATCTCATTTCAGCTGTACCTGAAATGCAGCTAGATCTTTGATTGGCAGTGAGATACCATCATGTAAACATCATTAGTGTTTTAAATCTAGCCATGGCGTTCCTTCCAGTATCACCTACCACTTAGCACCCTTCTGTTCCTGAGCTCTTTGATGATTTTTCTTGCATTTCTACCAGTCTTTCAAATTCCTCTTCTATAATGAATCTGATTCCCAGTCTGATTCTGGGCCCTTTTGGTTATAAGGTTGCTTGTGGGGTTCATAGACTTCCTGTGAGGCTATTTTTTTTTTCCTGATTCTTCTAGAACCCATTTTGTGATTAAGAACTTGTCTTTTCAAAGTTAATGTTATTTAGCCCTGTTTTTTCTTTTTAGTTGTATTTCACTGTTTAAAGGGTGAAAATACTTTGATTATGATGAAAATTTGTGTTTTTCTTTCAACAGTGACATCGTGAGGAAGATTGACCAGTCTGAATTTGAAGGTTTCGAGTATATCAACCCCCTCCTGATGTCTGCAGAAGAATGTGTCTGATTCTGCTTATTGCCATTTAGTGCATGGATCCGCCTGTTAGCCTGGTCACAGTTAGCATTTTATGTTGTCCCTACAGAAATCTCTCTCGATATCCTGTTAGAGACTATAGGAATCATACAGCTAAGTAGAGCTAAGAAACAGAAACTAGCTTCCTGACAATCGTGTCAAACTCCAGAGGCTCCTTATGAGGAAGGACCATGTCTTTGTGTAAAGGAAACAACTCAGCTTGTCAGAGAAAGACTCTGCTGCTTTGTGACACACGGTGGGATGACATCATCAGTCCCCCACAGTTGTTGTCACTTTGGGTTAAGTTACTGAAGGTTTAATTGTGTAGTAGAAGGCCATGCAGAGTACTGCATGTGTTACTGGTTTCCGAGTTCCCTCAGTTTAAGAATCCTCCTATAAATCTTCTCATTACTTTGGGTAATTAAAAATATTTAAGGAAGCAATTATCAAATTCATATACAATTGATTTGTTTTATTAAAAATTGGGTTCTAAATTATTAGCTGTGTTTCAAAAACAGGCACAGTGATGTATTTTTTGTTTTTTAATAAGGGGTTAGCTTCTGAGCTTGCCTTTTCAGTGAAAACTAGCACGCTAATACATGTTCAGAGACCCAGGATGCATATGAATGGACAGCTGCTCATGTAAAGGAAAAGGTAGCTTCAGAAAGAACAATGGTAGGAATTTTATTTCTTACCGGAGAATAAATCCTACAGTTTGATGTTTACGATTAATGTAAATAATGAGGAGGCTCTCACTTCTTACCAACTTAATAAACATTGCGTTTATTCAGGGGAGGCGGAGTGAATAATTTACCTTCTAAGTAGAATGTCTTAACTGCTTTTGGTTCCTTGTTCAGAATACATTATCTGTACTTTGACCTTTTCGTGATGTCTGCAATGAAATTCAAGACCAGTGATGATGACCATGGATAACTATGCAGCACACACACACAGTTCTAGCTCTTCCTGAGTTCTTATGTCATAGCTAACTTGTGATACAGAGTAAAGTCCATTTCCGGTTAGAGTTCTTCAGTTCTCCACAATATTTTTATTAATAGTAGTATTTAGCAATCTCTTATTTAAAGAGAAGTACCATTTTAAGCACCATTCTGTTTATTTTAAATATTTTTATATAAAGGACTTTAAAATGTTCATCTAAATAAGCTACAGTTGTCAAATCAGTAAATTTAATTTTAGGAATGCTATATAGTGCTGAGCTTTTAGTGATTTAAAACATGTAGGCATTTGAAAATATCTTTTTTGAGGATGCTACATTTCATTAGAAGTGTAAGTCGTGTCAAGTTTGTGTCATGTATTTTCTTCAAATACTGTAAGAGAGCAGTGAAAAACCTCCGCTGATTAAAGCCAACTAGGGACCATCAAGGTGGCACTTGCCAAAGCCTGATGACCTGATGCCTGGAACCCACGTGCTGAGAGGAACGGACCAGCTCCCACAGGCTGGCAGCCATGGCGGGTGCACAGCCCTCCCTGCAGGGCATAGATGTGAGGGAGCAGACAGACAAGTGCAGTCAAGTAAGACAGACAAATGCACATTGCTGGGCAGATGCTCGTGTGCATTTCATGTGGAGAAGTGTATGTTTCCCCTAAGATCTCACGGATCTTAAATCAAAAGGCAGCATTCACATCATAAGCTGGTGGGGAGTCTGCAGTGTCAATATGCCTATGACCTAAGTGGTGCTTCTCCCTGGGGGCATTTTAGACTGAGAGTTGTTGAAGTGCAGTGTCCAGCCTGCCTGGGACTCTTTGAGGACTTCATTTTGAGAAACATTTTTTTCAAGTTATTTTTTTTCTGGTGGCCATATTTCTTATTGGAGTGTGAGTCTGTTTTTTGTGATAAAAACATTTTAAGAAGGGGTAATCAATGAATTATCATGCATTTGCCAACAAATTTAGGTGAATAAATTCAAGTTATATGTCTTCCTTGTCCTCATCCGCAAACAAAACCTGTACATTTTCTGCCAGTAACATGTAAATGATGAGTGTTTTTCTATGATGGGGTTTCAACCATACTTAATTGCAGTCTTTGTTTTTAAATCTTTTTTTTATTATTGTTGTTAAATAATAAGACTTACTATGTGTGTTTTATACAATTATTACAAATGATTTTAATTCAGTTCTAGTTTTCAGTCCTTAAGTGCCATGCCAACTCTCTGTATGTTATGTAAATGTTCTCTCAGAATACTCACCAGGGAAATGCTGATCTGGATGGGCAGAGTGATGGGCACTTGGTGTCTTAGAAATAACTTATTTGCATAAGCTTGTGATCAATTTATCACAAAGAAATTTGTTTTAATTTTTGTCATGTAGAACACTGCCTTGTTCACTATAATATAATCTGTATTTGTATAATTTTTTTACATTAAAATCTTTAAATAAAATGTTTAATACCTATGAGGAGTGGGCCATTTTCAACTTTAAAAAAAATATATTCCAGAACAAGACTGTGAACATTTGTTCCAGAATTTCTGTAACTCAAACAACGTTTTGGTGCTGATGACTAAAAGATTCTAGTACATTTTAACCTGTTCCTCTTTGGGTCTTTTCTTGTGAAGAAAAAGAAATCAGCTGAACATAGAACATTGTACCGTACTTTAAACTGAAGCTTAGTCAGTCCTTCAAAGCAAGTCATTCTCGTGTTAGGCTTCACTCTGATCTATTGTATTATAAAAGGGTGGAGCTTCTTCTCTGGGTAATAGCTGGTATTCCCCCCCCCCATACAGTCTTCACCATAGCTCCCCATTCTCCCATGAGCATTGCATCTTCAGTGCCTCTCTGGGCAGAGCAAGGAACTGTATATTGAAACCTCTTCCCTGTATTTATCCTGATTGCACCCTTGCTCAGTACAGTTACAGGTGGGACCAGTGAAGAGCCCTTCAGGCAGTTCGACAGCATCAGTTTAGCTATCTGAGCATTGATGAGGTTTCCAAGCAGTCCAAAGAGGACCTTGGAAGTTTAGGGGGATTTTGCATATAAATCATTGAGTCGCTGGGACAGCCAGCTTCCTTCCCCCTGAAAGGTAAAACAGGTCTCCAGTCCCTGAGACACTGACAGCTTGTTTCTGAACAACACCAAGCCATGAGGCATGTGGTAGAGTTGGGATCTTTCCTAGATTTCCTCTAGGAAAGAGTGGAATCGAACACCTGTGAGACCATTTAATCCCAGTAGTCAGCCACAAATCTACTGTAGTGTGGTATGGTGTGGTGTGTATCATGCTTAATAGGGGTGATAAAGCTGAACCCTTGCCATTTACACCCAGGACAGGCCATGGAAATACACATGGGGGCCATGTTGCTATCATGTGACTTAATGACGCAGATGAGTTTCTATTTCTAGGTGATCTGTGGTGGAGACTTTTTAGACTTAGAGTAGGTTCCACAAAGCTGTGAATATCCACAGGAAGGTCAGGACGTGGCTGCTGCCTGCCATACTAAGACGGTTTGCGCTGAGAAGTGGCAATTGGCTTTCACCAGTGCGATTAGAGAGCAAGCTGCCAGATGCTCCTGTCTGGAGCAGTTTTGTGCAGCTCAGAATGAGACTGGGATGTGAATGTGACAGACATCCATCCTCGCGTGGCAGTTCAGACCCTATTGACACTAGCATACATTTTCTCCAGTTGCTGTTAGTGCTGGAGAAACTGAACTTATACATCATGAAGAGGTGTTTGCTTTGATGTTTTCTAGAGCCTAAACTTGACAGTTGGTTAGCTCATTCACACTCAGTTTAGCCTATCCATAGAAACATAAATGTGAGAAGGAGCCTGGGGAAGGGTTTCATTTAGCAACAGCCTTGAAGGAGTTGAATGCCATTCTTTTGCTTTTCCCTGTAAAGAGATAATAAAGCTGCCAGTCAACAAATGGGCAAATGAACTGGCCAGATAGTCTTTGGAAAAAGAAACAAATGGCCAGTAACTATTTTAAGAAGCCTTCGATCTCCCTAGCTCTTAGGAAAATGCAAATTAAAACTACTTTGAGTTACCACCTGATCCTAGTCAGTATGGCTGTTAGAAGTCTGCAACAAATGCTGGAGAGGATGTGTAGAAAAAGGAACCTTGGGCCAAAGAGCTGGCTCAGCGGTTAAGAGCACTGGCTACTCTTCCAGAGGTTATCAGTTCAATTCCCAGCACCCACATGGTGGCTCACAACCATCTGTAATTAAAGAATCTGAAGCTCTCTTCTGATGTATCTGAAGACAGCTACATTGCACTCACATAAATTTAAAAAAAAAAAAAAAGGAACCTTTATTCACTGTTAGTGGAGATGAAAGCAAAGCAACTTAGCCGTTACGGAGATCAGTTTTGAGATTGCTCAAATAATTAAGAATATAATTAGCCCATGACCCCACTATTTCAGTGCTGGGCATATACGCAGAGAGCACCACGCCCTACCATAGGGGTTTGCACCCCATGTTTACTGCTGCTTAAGTCACTGTAGCAAGTGATTGGAATCAACCTGTTCATCCATCAACAGATAATAATGAAAACTTGGGAGTAGTGGTGAATTTGATTCAGCTCTAAAGAAACATGCAATCACAAATGTATAGGAGAATGGAAAGGCAATGAAGTCACAATCTCAGAAAAGAACTGCATCTTTTCCCTCAGGCAGAATCTGACCAATATGCCATGTATAGATGCAAACAGTGCATCTTTAGGTAGAGACTAGCATGTAGTAAGAGAACGAGAGAGCTTAAAATTTAGGGGATGATGGACTGAAGGTAATGAAGACGAGTTATGCAAGCATATAAATCTTGTTTTTCTAGTTCTTACTCTTGCCATGGATTTTTTTCATTTTCAGTGGTAGGAAAGTGCATAAAAATATACTCCAGTGAACAAAATCCAGCTTAAAGCAACACTGTTTCTGTTCCAAATGACTATTCTAAATACAGAAGTTCATTTGAGTGTCATGGTCTGGGTCTGGTTAATTTCAGCATATGATGTATTTTATTTGCAGAGTTTTCTGTAATGTAGTTAAAAATTTAAAAAAGGAAGGCATTTGGTTTCTAGAACTAAAACTACAGGGCTAGATTTAAACTTTAACATAAGCTGGGCATGGTGGCAAACACGAAATCCCAGCTCCTAACATGGGAGGCCAGAGGATCAAGAGTTCAAGATCCCCCTTGGCTGTACTGAGAGTTCCAGATCAGCTTATGATAGAAGACCTTATCTTGAAGGAAAGTTGGGGGTGAGATGGTTCAGTAGTACAGGCCCTTGTCAACAGTCCTGACAACAGAAATGGGATCCCTGCGATCTACATGGTGGGAATAGGGAAGACCCTCTAGAAAGGTGTTCTTTGAGCGCCATACAAGTGCTGGGCATCACTGTCTCCTGATAAATAAAAATTTGAAAATGATTATAAGAACTTTCTGTGAGTAGTTGTATGACTTTATATTAATAGTTGGGAATAAAATGTATATTACAGGAACTTAACTTTGGAATTTTGGGTGTGCCTGTGGGACTGCAGGCATAGCCTCAGCTGGCCCTCAGATTCATCTCTTTATTATTTTTGTTGTTAAGCTAGAGTTTCTCATTGGCCTGAGCTTGCCTAAGTAGGCTAGTCTAGTTGGCCAATGCGCCATCCTCCCGTTCCCATCTCCCTGTGCTGGGATTACAAACACATACCACTTCTGCATTTTTATGTGGTTTGGGCACCAAACTCAGGCACAAATGTGTGTTTGTGTGTGCGTGTGTGTGCATGTGTGTGTGTGTGTGTGTGTGTGTGTGTAAGCCAGCACTGTATGGCTATTTTCCCCAGCTCCTTAACTTTACATTTTAATGGACTCAAGAGAGGAAGGGAGGGAGGGAGGGAAGGACTGTTGGGAGGCGCGGCAGGTGCTGGCAAAGTCTGCCATCTCTAGGTGGCGCTGTCAGCCATAATTCTTCCTAGTAAACAAATAAATTGCGCATGTGCCATGGTAAAAGCCCGCCAAAGTTAAAGCCCATCCCACGGCGTTTGGCGCGCAACGAGTAAGCAGCCAATCAGAGGTGATTACACCGCTCTAGGGTATAAAACTATGCTTTCCCAGGGCTGGGTGTCGGGTGTGTGTGTGTCTTCTCTGTGTCTTCTGTGTGTCTTCTCCGTCTTCTCCGTCTTCTTCCACCATTTTGGTTTTTGGGAATAAACGTGTTTCTACGGAAAGATTCTGGTGTGTGTGTGTGTGTGTGTGTGTTCTTGCTGGCGAGACCACTACACGCGCGCGTCACAAAGGACGGAAGGAGCGAGAGGGAGAGGGAGAGGGAGAGGGAGAGAGAGAGAATATCAAGAGTCGAGGGGGGCTTGAAACCAGGGCTTACCTTTTAATTCTGAGCTGTACCTAGTCTAGAGAAAATGTAAGCAACTTTTTTCCTCATGACTGAGATTCTACTTAACACAAATGTTTCCGTGTACCGAAGGGTCTGTATTTGTGAATGGTTTGACTCAGTTTTACTGTTTGGTTTGACTTTTGTTTATATTGTTAAGGATTGGGCCCGCAGCTTCATACATACAAGGCAGATGCTGACAAGCACTATGTCAGCCTTGATGGCTTTTCTAAACGTTCCTTATGTTAAGCTTAGAGGTATAATTCATGCATTGATTGGGAGGTTGTGTAATACACTGTTTTTATTTGAGAATTTCATGCATGTATACAATGTATTTTGATCATCCATTTCAGCTCTAGCTGGACCCCCTCCTTGCAGCAGGCATCTCCCTACTTGTCTTCCTTCCCTCTTCATAACTCATAGCCAATCAGAGCTGCCCATGTGCACATGGCTGTGGAACCATCCACAGTAGCCAGAAAAATGACCCCCCACTTCCCTCAGCTGCCAGTAGCTCCTCCCCTATGCATGGGACCTTGAGCCCGACTCCCGCCGCCGCCCGTCCCCCCGCCCTCCACCCCCAATTCATTTTGGAATTTGGCTTCATTTTGTGCAAGTCTTACAGGCAGGCAACCACAGCAGCCGGGTGCATGAGTACAGTAGCCACGTCCTGTTCAAAAGCCAGCATTTCACAGCTCTCCTCCCCATGCCCTGGTTTTACCTCCTCTTCTAAGGTGTATGCTCATTCCTTGGGATAGGGTGTTGACATAGATGTCAAATTTTTATGGCTGAGCACACCTATTTATTCTTTTTTTTTTTTTTTTTTTTTTTTTTTGGTTTTTCGAGACAGGGTTTCTCTGTATAGCCCGGGCTGTCCTGGAACTCACTCTGTAGACCAGGCTGGCCTCGAACTCAGAAATCCGCCTGCCTCTGCCTCCCGAGTGCTGGGATTAAAGGCGTGCGCCACCACCGCCCGGCACACCTATTTATTCTTAGCATGATGAATTTTGAGTTCACATTAACTGCTGCCCACTACAAAAAAAGAAGCTTCTCAGCCAAGGTGGAGAGCAGATATATTTACGGAGAGAGTTGCTGGCACGGT